ATTCATGAAATAGTAGTTCAATAAAATTTTGAATGCGAGTCAATAAATGAAATGACATGGCCTTTCACCCATGACCCATCTCAAAAGAGTTAAGGTTTGCATGCCCCAAATTTGTACTAAGTGCCATTCAACATAGTATTATGAATTTGAAGTCACTGCTGATTTTGTTAGAGTAGAAAAAATACCAGATACAATATAAAGTGATAACAAACAAGACTTTAGATATGAATTTAGGAGATTGTATAGGTTACACAAATGCAATGTGCATACAGTGTGATGGACAAAAATATTTTTGTTTTTCAGATAATCATAACCTTGTACTCTTACTTGTCAGAGTATGAATCTGACCAACTTCAGCATTTAACAGATGTATATTGAGTATAAAAACATTAGTAACAAATTTGATGTTTTGTGCACAACAGATTTTGTACTGTTGACTAAAATCTTGCCGCATTTCATGAAGATACATTTCGTCAGTTTGGAAATACAAGCATATGTACTTGTGAAATGCACAGTGATACATTTATGAAAGTTAACAAATTGCTTATATGATTTGTTTATTGATTTTAAAGAGAAGGGTCATTGTTTTGTTTTATCTACGGCTACATCTTTACTGAGGTTTGTGGCTATGTATGCAGAAACTTCCCAAAGGTTGCTATGTAAGTACTCTATTGCTATGTATATAGAGGGGATATTTCCATTTACAATAATTTCATTGAGAGATGCATTTAATTTGTCTATGATAATCAATAGTACGTCATTAATGACAGGAAAAATAGTTAAATATTCTTTATTACGTACTCATAGCAAGTTGTGTAGTAACAGACTTACATTCAATATAAAATGTGGATTTGAAAACAACATTTTTAACAATTATGAATATAGAAATGCACTTTTTTCCTAAATATTCCAGTGGCAATATAACGTACATCAGAATAAAATTATTCATGTCCACTGGTCTTGATTATTTAAATAAAATTTTATTTTCTATTGTAGTTTTATCAAAAAGCAAAAAGTAGCATATGAATTAAAAACATCTCACTTAAAATAAGTGTGTCTATCTTGAAAGTGTGTATGAACAATGTGGGAAAAAAAAATCCCTCAAATGGTTGATGGGATTTAAAAATTTTGTCCTCGTAACTCCTCCTAAGCTTCAGCATTTGGACCTGTAAAATATGGTTTAATCAACTAGGAATGATTTGTGATGTGTCAAGAATAAGTTGTTTTTCTTTTAAGATGCATAGAGTTCATAACTCAATTTATTGACTAAATACAGAAAAGTCAGTGGGGGGTGTTCCCTGGGGGTGCTAATGGAATTTCTCTAGTTTCTTCTTTCATTACATGGAGTATACATACAGTCTATGTGCTTTCAATCATTACTGGCATATTTAAGACAAAAAAATATATTTATATTCATAACTGATAAAACATTAATTCTACATTGCATTTCCAAACTTATCTCAAATGATAGTAGTATAATCCACATTACTTATCCAGTACAGGGTCATTCCATTGGACCGAATCCATGCACATTAAGTTATTATGTGAGACACGAGTCCATGCATTAATACCATCACCTTTTATTATAAAACATAAAAACATTCTGTAATTAATTTTGTTTTTTAAGAGGGGAGTTCTCTGTGTCTTTATCTCATTTATGATGTCAGTAAAAATATAATTCATTTATATCAAAATTCCTTTCTTCTTCTTCTTCTGAATCAATGTCATATCTTTTCTAAAGAAATATTTTCTTTCTAATTTTAATTTGGATCAAGTATATCTATTTCTTATATCTTGGAGTTGTTAAATAAATATAAGATCACCTTCACTTGGAACCATGCATCTTGAGTACAGTACCGGATATCACAAGCTGCAATAAGGTCAACGCCACCTCCAATACATCCACCATGAACGGCTGCAATCACAGGCTTTTGGCACTGAAAAAAAACTGAAGATTGTAAATTTGGTTGTGTCAATATCCTGGAACAATAACTACAAAAACTGTTTTGATAAAGAAGTCTGGAACACTTTAATAACATAAAAAAAACAAAACAATATAGGAATTTAAAGTGTCACACTTACAACTTGTATTTTTTATACCCATTGTTTACAAACTGATTTTTATATTAAATTATTAGCTTCTAGGAAAATTCATTTCATACTCTGGTATATTGAAGTCTACCAAGTTGTATAAATTGGATTATATTTTTACAAGCAATTCAAAATTATGAATGAATTGCATGTAACTTCAACATTAACAGTATTTAATAAATAAGTATTTATTTCAATCTTTCAATACTCTTATGTTATATCTTTAGTTTACATTATTTTCACCAAAAGCCTTTGATACATCAAGTGTGTTTATATCTCTTTTTGAAGCCTGTGTTGTACCTTATCTGAAGCAAGCACAAATAGTAGTGCAAACATTCAGAATGACATCATTACTCATGTGCATATTGCATGGTATATCATCTAACTCACAGCATCTGAGACATAGATTAATATTATATCAAAACAAATGATGAAAAATATTCTGCTTCAGAATTCAAAGTAGCATAAGTAATTGTAATAAATGACAATTATCTACTTGTACAAACAAGTTTGTTTGTTTTTTTACTTTGGTTAATTCAGTATGTACAATTTCTCATTCATGTTTTTTCTTTACAAATACCCCAACTGATTACATATAGTAGGTACTTTTATGGAAAAAAGATATGAATATGGATATTGCAAAATAACTTCTACAAGAATATGCATTCTTTTATAATTTATTTTGTAATACATATCAATTTTGACTAGTCACTAGCAGACATATGTTGTGCTCATACACATGTAAAGGCTTCATTATAATTAGTATTATGAAAGATTAACAAATATTAATTTTTTAACCTTTATGGACAAAACATGTCTTCATAATTGTAGTTGTTTTTTTCTAACAAAGATCTAACCATACAATTCTGTACACAATAAATCAGTTATTGTAATTGAGGATATGGACAAAAGCTTTTTTTATATTTCATTAATTCTACAATCTTATCTACTTAAATTATTTAAGGTGACAAAATGAAAAATAATTTAAATATGCATATTATCAAATTGCACAATTGCTTGTAAAATGACTTTTAACCCTCTGAACCAAAAACATCACCATAACAATTTGAAAAAATTTATGAAACTGAACTAGTAGTAACATTTGGTAAATATGACTTTACTTTTTCCAGAGCATTGAAAGACTCCTGGTAGATAGCAATTAGGGACTGTAAGTACTTTGCCCTTCTGGCTACATCAGACTTCTTTGAAACTTGTGATGTAATCAAGTCAGCCATATCACCTATGTCCAGTCCTTAAAAAAAATTAAGAATTGTCTAGTGAGACTAGAAACTTAATTGTATGTTTTTATAAATTATTTAAAGATACTGTCATACCTAATTGAAAAGTCACAGCAAGATTCTTTTGTTTATTATAATATACTATTAATTTTAAATCATGTAACAAATATCACATGTGATACTATTTGTCAAATAGACAATGATTTCTAAAAGTAAAATATAGTCAAATACATCAGTTATTTATCCAATTTTTATACTTAAAACCACAATGAGGAAATGTTTCCACTTAAACTAGTTGGCTTCTTACTATATAATATTTTCTACTTGCTTTCCTGTTGGAAGAATAAATTACAATTAAGAACACATCTTTAAACTGTCCTTATCTAAGATATATTAACATATATGGATTCCAACTACTGTGTAGAATAAACTATTCACACTAGTGTCTGTTGACTAACACCTGTGGATCTTGTTTCACCATTAATTAGGTTGTGGACACTTCAGTTAAAAAAGTAATTGAAACAATTTTTATAGCTTATGTTTCGTCAAGTATTGTTTAATGTCATAATTCAAATCACACTACTGTTTAAAGATTTTAGGTTAAAAAAAACAGAAGTCCTGCAAGTCAACAGCCTTGAGTCATTTATTCAATTTCTTTGCACATGAAGCGATTGGAGTTATGTGAGATTAACAGCTGGATGTTTAATGGTACATTAGCAAGGATCCCTGAAGCCTAATACAGTGTATCAGTCTTACACTTATAAGCATTTAACCACACAATATGGAGAACTGGCTAGTGCAGTCTTTAAGATCTTGTTATGTGCCTCTAACTTGAAGGAGTCAACATATGCCAGTTAGTCAGCCACATGAAAAAAATGTGTTTTATAAAGTTTGAATAGTAAAATCATATGAAAGATTGGTGATTACTCAATGATAGTTAACTGAAAAGTATGTTTCTGTATTAAATCTAAAGTAAAAAAAAAAAGAAGAAGAGGAGGCAAAGAGATTGTAGGAGCTACTTGGGCCCTTTGAAAATATGGTAATTTGGAACAGTTTTCCTTCATTACAGTATATCATAATAATGTCCAAAACTATAATCTCCTACATCAAGTTTAAGGCAAACTACTTACTACAGATAATCACTTTTTAAATTGAGCCAGAAACAATAACAAAATAAATAGGACAAGGCAGAAGCACTGTTGTACTACAGTGTAGCTAATGCCATGAAATCCAAGGGAACAGATACTTTATATAATTACTAAATGTAGAGCAAAAGAAAATGTAAAAGCAAATCTAACTATCTGATTTTCTTAAAACAATGAGTGATATATGTTAAAAATGAGTAATAGTGTAGAGCAGATAAAAGTGTGGAATAAATGCAATAACCTTGTACAATAAGAATAAGAAGACTCTGTAAACAAACAATTTATTGATGCCAGCCTCTTTTATATCATTACAAGTCTATGTCTTATCCATCAATCCAAGCATTAAATTAGTGAAAGCTCAACACAAAATAATATATCATTAAAAATACTTGAAAGTAAACATAACTGTTTTCTTCATGTAATTAAACTTAAAAAAAAGGACCTTTTCGTAACTCAATAAACAAACCTATTCATTGCATATTAGATTATATCTTTCAACTGATACAAAAATATTCCTTAAAATTTTCTTATTCATTCAATAAATGTATTAACATCTCACTAAGTACACTATTATTATGTTGCTACCTGCTGAAAACATTCGTCCTGCTCCAGACAATATTACAACCCTAATGTCTGTGTCATCAGAGATTTCTCTAAAACAATCCAGGATTTCCCTGAAAATACATTTGCAATATATTAATACTTCTCTAAGATCATAATAAAATTAAGTTTATGAAATTTGTGATTTTAAAAAGTAAATAAAAGAAGTGAATATCAATAAAATTAAAATAAATGGACTTCTTAATAGACAGTAAAGTAATAAAATGTGAACAAAAAGTATATTAAAAATGACAAATTTAGTTTTCAAAGGATAAAGGATTGTGTTTGGCCCTTATATTTTTGTTTTTGCCTGACCATAAAATAATTTAGATCACAAGAATGCAAAATTCTAGTAACTCACCGTTCTTCATGTAGGGGGTATTTTGTTAAGTGGAGAGGAAAGTTAGCTAGCACAAAAATTTGTTTAAATAATTCTTATTTTGCACATGTAAAACTTAGAAAATACATAAATGTTTGTTAACAACAAAAGAAAAGCAAAAGCTGAATCTTTACTAAGGAAAAAGAAATTCACAAACTTATGCTTGAAAATCCTCAAGTGAAACTTAATGAAATTTTAATCATAAGAAATTCTACAACTAAGGCTGTAAAAGATGTAATTGGTATTTTAATTCTTGGAAAAAAAAAAAAGATCTTGTAACAACAGATTTTTCTCAGAAATACTTTTAAGACATGTAGAAAATATCTTCCAAAATAAAACTTTTTTTTTTAATTTGTGTATTTACTAGTGTAAAAAATTGTTCCATCAAAATGGAATATTCAGCTACACACTGAATCTCTGTTGCTATATGAAACTTCCATTTCTGGTTGATAAGTCATGTCAGGAGACCTCTACTCCAAAACTAAAAGTCCATGTGTATCAACATGTACAGGAGACTAGATTATACATAACACTTTCTTAATCACTCATATGCATAACTGGCTCTTCAACTGCTTCACTGTTGAAAACAATGCAAATTGGCTTATCTTTGCTTGTACCCTAATACGTACCCTAATAACTCAGCCAAAGAGTAACACTAAAAGTTGAAAGAGCTTTATAAAGCACATACATTAATCAACTAGTAATGATACGGGCCTCAAAAATTAAATAACAAATAACTGGGGGTAAAATAATGCTAACTGAGGGTTCCAAGTATCTGTATGATAACAAAGTTAGATTCACTGGCAATCACAGCTGTGTTATTACGTTTCCTTATGAATTAACACATTAAAGTGGGTTAATTAGTTCAGACTTTCAAATCAATATTTGTAAATACTCTGAATTATATTCTAAGGTATATGCTACAAGGTATAATTTATGCTTTTAATAATTATAAAACTTTAGTTAATACAGATTTAAGTTCATACACTTACGAAATTTTCATTAAATGACATCTCAAACACTAAAACTTTTCCTATTTGTTTTTGTTATAACAATTAAGGATGCAACATCTTGTGTCTTTTTCATTTTTATACAAAAAATTATCCTACAAGCAATTTATTCTCTGCAGATTAAATTTGTAAGTACTCCATATGAAGATTAAAAAATGCAAGACAATTTTTCAAAACTTCAAAAAGAGAGTCAATAGCCATTTAATTTTAAGTCTGAATTCTTATTGACCAATTCTTCCGTACTTTTTAAAACTAATTCTGAGCTACCAGCTTTACGTCTTACACATCTAGGTCTGATACCCTTACTTCTTCCACTACATTCCATACTGGTAGATTATAATAGTCTCTAATTTGCACAAGCACAATAACTGAAGAACGTGTGTCTTAACAACCCACCCACTCAAACAGTGCATTTGTCTCTCTCTCAAAAACTAGACTTTAAAATATACAAATAAAAACCTGCAAACTGATATAAGAAAAAAAAAAAACTGCAATGAAAATACTGAATGGTACAAGTTCTCATACATTCCTAGTGTCTAAATATTTAACTATAAACATAAGAATTGTGCATTATAGTATTCCATGTAATTTCAATGTAAACAACTGAAATATACTTGATATTATACTAAACATTACTGCAAGCAAAGAGTTTATGGTAGATCATGTATCACAGTATAAGACAGAAGTGAAAAATTTACATGTCTCAAGAAAAGAATAAATACAAAGTTCCAGTAAGCAACAGTGAGATTCACGTACAGTTACAGCTTTAGTGAAATGCAAGCATTCTGAAATGTTATACAGGGACATTGTCAAAGGAACGTGTATGTCGTAAAGCATCTGCTATGGAAAAGGTAATTTACTGTGCATGCTGATATGCGTGTGAGGGTTAAGGTTGAGGAAAGAAATTAATATGACTAATTATGTTGTTTCTCATCACCAGATGAAATTTAACATATCTAACATATTTTATAATAGATTAATTTCATTTTACAAATGCACAATTTAGTTTAAATGTCTGAATTTTTCATAAATATGTGCTTTTCATTGGGCTTAATGACCATGCAAAAAACAGCTTTTAAAGGAATTTATAATTACTACATTACATCAATTTTCTTTTTAACTTATGATTACTTTCAAACAAAACATCAAATGTCATTCTATTCTACCTCCAAAACACTTTGTTCATGGCATTCAACTTGTCAGGTCGGTTCATTTGGACATGGAGAATACGTTCATGTGGGGAAGTGACATCAAGAGTTTCATATGACATAGTATATCTTGCTTTTTCAGAAAATTTTCTACTGGATACTACTCCAGCTAATGACTGAACTGGAATTTTTGGTGCTGTCCTGGTCACCACATGACCTAATAATAAATTAATAATTTGTAAGTTATATTTAAACATCAACAAAATTTGAAATATGTGATGAATTTAAACAGAGTACAGACAGCATTTAAGTAGCTGATGTTGGTGCTGTTCCAATTACCAATATATATATACATACATACATACATATACATAATTGTGTACATAACATAGATAGATACAAGCACCAAAGAGATATACTCTTTTGTTAACTTTTCAATGGGAAAATATTGGTAAGCTTTAAGGAATGCTGAAGAATGAAACTGGTGCTGTTCAATTAAAACAGAGAATTTACAGATTACTAAAGGGGTTTTCACTGTGTTATCCACAAGAAGTATTCTTCTTGTATCTTTATGTACACACACAAACATATATGTATTATATATATACATATATATGTCAATAAAATTACAAACATAAACATCTTAGATAAAATGTTAGTCCATTCGTCATCAAAACAAAATGAGTGAACCACCTACTATGTATTGGAAATTCAGTCTACTAAAACAGTAAACTGAAAACAGGGCTTGTCTATCTATTGTTCAGCTTAGAAATCAGAAATGGAGGCTTTAAGATTAGAGATAGTATAAGCTCTGAAAAACCAAAACACAGACTAAACTATTTATAAGTATGCTATTTACTTCTAGAATATTCTACTAGATAATGTGGCTTGAGTTGGCAATATTTTTATTCTATTTAGCACATTAAAACTGTGGACAAACTGTTTAACTAGCTAGTAGGAAATTCACAAATATACTTGTGTTCTTTTTAAGAAGGCATGGAGTTCAGTTTATACATGTAGTAATGAGCTATCAGTTCATATTCTTCACTAATGCTTTATTCAAATTAGTTCAGGTATAAAAGAAAAATGTTATCTTGGTCTTTATTGTTATATGCTTCTTATTTAAGTTGCTTCAGTAAACTGCAAACTTCTTTCTGTTGTTTTATTATACATACAAGTATATCAATTACGGTGAGGATTTAACCCTATGTGCATGGATTGGGGTCAAACTGCACATGCCACAACCTTCTTCAAAGTGCCATTCAACATGGTATTATAAATTTAATGTCAGAGTTGTCAGCTATCCATATTACTCTATGTTGTTGATTAGTGGTAGTTAATGGTAGAGGAGAGAAAAAAACAGATACAATATATAGGGATAATGAACACAAACTTAGATATGCAATTAGGAGGTTATATAGGGTATGCTAAGTGTACGATGAACAAAAATATCTTTATTCTTCATTCCTACTTGTCAGTCAGAATCAAACTCATCTCATCAATTCATATATATCATGAGTACAAATACTTTATTAAGACATCTGATTTTTTTATGCACAACAGATTTGTACTGTTGACTAAATACTAAATGCTTCTTACATTTCATCAAGATACATGTAGTAAATTCAAAATTATAGTCAACATTATCGAGTCGAGTCCAATAGACAGACTCCATGCACATTCAGTTAATTTGTCCAATTATACTCCCAAGTTAATTACCATGATAAAAGTAGTAATGTAACCCATGAACATAAAAAAAAACACAATGTCAGACAAAATCACACTACAACCTTTCACATCCATATATCTATCCAACAAATATTTAAATGAATTGTAACTAATAGCATGTAATGCATTGTTTGGCAAAACATTCTAAAAACTATATTTATCAGTGTTCTGATTCCAAAGTCTTGATGATAATAATACCTTTACAAGACATGATTCTTAACCTTTGCTCTCTTGTACATCTTACAAAGATGTATATTAGTACAACAAGTAAACATTAGTAGAATCAACTTTAATCCTGACAGATAAACCAATTTTTTCATATACTAACATAGTTTGCAATGAAAATGTATTTTAACTTTTGGAATAGCTAACAGTTTTCTTTACAGCATCCTTAACAAGATTATTACTATTTAATCAGATATTTTGGGACAATATAAAATGTCATAAACACATAAAATTTATGTTCTGAAACCTGATTTGAGTAAAAAATATAAACTGTGGTTTCATATAAATACTTGTAGCAGCTGATGTATTTGTAAAAATTGTCTTTCCAAACTATTCTACTTTCCATTCTGATTATTTTGTATTTTAATACGACATTTTCAACCAAAACTTAAAAGCAGCAAATTACAATATAAGGAAAACTTTATCCTGATATGGAATAATAACATTTAAAAATAACTGTCAGTGAACAAACTTATATCTAGATGCTATACATACATAAATCAGATAGCTTGTTACATAGCTAATATAATTTAAGCATATCACCTCAACGGAAGAAACTAACTAGCACTTGAAACAAGATTTTAAAGTGGCATAGAGCTTGTACAAGCCAGTATTTGTTTAGTGATTAACATGTTACTTATCTTAAGACACATATGTAGTCTAAGCTTTCTCCATGAAAGGACAGTTTTTAAAATGTACAAAATCACTATTATAGTAAGAAAATATTTTATTGATAAATACAACACACAGTGTAAAAGAAGTATAGCTTATACTGGTCATGGTGAAATATTTTTTTCTAAATAAAACATAGCAACTCTTTGGGTGCCATTTCAACTAAACCACACTGTTTAATCTGATTATGGTCAAGTTTCTTTTTCTACCAGAAAAATTATAAGTTTTCTGTAATAATACTCCAAAAAAACATCTAATAAATACTAAGAATATCCAAGTTAGGTATACAATGTTATGTCTTATTCAACTTAGTAAGTTTTACTTTAGCTGTATTCTAAGTCATATAAATCATATATAAAGTAAAATAACAGATATCACAATGGACATCTGCTTGCCCATTATAATTGCAAAATTTAACTTTAAATGGTATTTAACCCTGATAAATATAAACTGTTATATTTATAATATCTTCAATATGCATGGTCAGTTTCCAAAGTATATGTATAATTATAATTAAAACAACAGGTTTCTTTTAAAGATTGTTTCAGGTATTGTGTTGACATGTTGAACAGTTTCCTACAATCTGATCCAAACTTTCATCTGGTTTTAGAACCAACACTTCAGGTTCTGTGCTAGGCTCATCAACACAAAGTGAAATGTCATCACTAAAACCAGACAGAAGCTATTCAACAAAACATTCAACAGTACTTTTTGAAAAACTATAGTATCGTAGATGGATGTAAAAATGTAACATATCCATTAAAAAATCAGTAGCTTTGAAAACTCAGCTGAGGTAGTACAAATTATACCCAAGCATAAAAAGTTTGTTCAATTTTTGGAGGTATAGAGAGAAAGCAAATTAATAATTGTTTTGATACACAACTAAGATTTCTCCTTTCCTGAATTTTGATGTTCCACTAATAATATAAATTTTAACTTTAAAACTCCACTAAACTTTTCAAGAAAAAGAAAAAGGAAGTGAATATATGTGTGTGTACATTAATGCCTTTAATGAATAGTATTTTGCTAAACTTAACAAAATGCATTGCAGTATATGGTAGAAGTGGTACTGAACATAAATTATATATCATTCTTTTGCATTTAATTTTTTATTTCAATCATCATATTTTAAATTTCAAATCAAATTTATGATGTTGCATATACTGACCACAAAGACTCTGTTAACTTAAAAAGTTAAACCTAATCATGTATATTTACAAGTTAAAGTTAACCAAACGGTAGTTCGCAATTTTTAGTATTAATTAAGTACATGAAACGCATGAGTTGAACATCACTCTATGTTTACAAACTGTTCACCGAACAATAACATTAAGAAAATGACCTTTCATCGTCCTCTGGAGTAAACTTTGTCAAGAATATAATTATATACATTATCCTTTTATTAAGTCTTAGCATCAAGAATATACATTTCTTTGCTAATGCTCACACACACGCCCCATATCTTACATTTTTATTCAAAGTATCAAAAAAAGTAGAAAATTCTTACGTGTCAAGCCACAGATCACACTAGCAACCATTGTATTTTCTAAACTAAATTTCCTTTCTCCTCAAATCTGTCTGTACGTTGAAAAAACAGCTGGCGTTTGGAGATTTCTTTACCGCTAGATGTCGTAATACTCATGCTGGATTAGATAAGAAACGAAGTGTGGTTGGCGAATAAAAATAATTCAGTAGGTGATTAAACGAATAGTAAATCTTGTAATGAAAGCCTTGTTCGACTATGTAACATCAGTAAACAACAAACATAGCTACAGAAACAGTCAACCCATTGGTGGGTTCGTTAAGTCTAGGTCTGACCGAGAAAGTTAGGAAAATGTTATATGAAAATAAAAAAAAGAAAGATAATAAATTAAAAGGATAGTATATACAGGAGGATTGTTGGGTACAAACCACAACTGCATTTTTATGATGACGAAAAATTAAATCTTAAGCTTTAAAAACTTCTGTACTTGCGTTATAGTTATGTATTCATAACCTCTTTATTTTATTAATGTGGCAGTGTTTCTACAATTCGAAATAGACTTTGATAGGACCATGTATTGGGTTGCTTTCAAAAGGTAGAACTTCTGTAAGGGTAAAAGAAGCTCTACTGAAAGTGTACGATTATCGACGGGTATTAAGAATCATGAATTACCTATTTTATTAATCTACGCGTTTTCTAAATATAAATGTTAATTTCGATTAATAAATCTTTGATAGAAATAAAGGATAAATATCACTTAACGCATCTGCTTTTTCAAATATTAGTGTTAACTACTTCTTCACCAAAGAACTGCGGTTACAATAAATTTCTTAGAATGTTGTAGGCTTTTAATTTTTAGAATCTTTATTTCAAAGTTTTGTGGCTGAAGGTAATCCAATTACTGATGCTAGTGCGCTTGTTTGTTAGGGAGCCGTCAATTTTTGTGTTGTCTCAGAAAATGTTGTAGATGACTATCATAAACATTAGTGAGATTATGGGATAAGATTTATACCAGACATTCTGGTGATGCTTTTCATACAGTAGTACCATAACACAAGAGACATAATAGCATGATAATAGGACTAAAGTACACACAATATGGTTCCCCTCTATTCCTTGAATTACAAACAAGTTGCAACAATTAACCCAAAAAGATTTGGTAGAGGGTGAAACAGAAACGAAAAATAACAAAATTAAGTAAATAATAGAAAGATACAAGAAAAATTAATAATCTTGACATTTACATAGGAATTATTGGTTTTGAAGATTTGGTGGGTGCTGGCAGAGGGTGTTTGGTAGCATGCCATCTTTCATTCTTCTGGATCGCATCTATCTTTCAGTTTTCTGGTAGGGAAAGTAATGAATGTGGAAGCTAAGAAATGGGGTTGATATACCCATTCACTTAGGAAAAAAGTAGTTATCAACTGTTGATGACTGTCAGCTCTAAAAGCCAAGAATCCAGTATGTAACCAATTTGATTCTCAGCCCAGCATTTTTAGAAAGAAAAGGCTATCCTAAAAACAACTGACGCAACTACTGACACGTATACTACTTGATTTTCCTCCCGCAGTTGGTAAGCTGTCTCATGAACCTGATGATATTTGCAGACCAGATACAATTACACTCTACAGGGTGAATGCCGTCAGGCAGAGCACTTTCCTGCGGGATCCTAGAACACGTAATACTACAACTTGAAGATGAATGTAATGCCATGTACTGAACGGATTATCGATATTACAAGCCACCACTCCAGGGATGCGTTCATAATTATGCACAAGTGACACTGGTAGGCTAATTACTCGTTCGAAAATAGTCCGTGCGTTTTATGCGCTAACCACCACCTTGTTCGAAAACGTTAGTTTTCTCACTATCCACACTGAGTGGTCCTGAAAAGGAGTAGTAGTCAGAATAGCTTCGGCAGCATTTAACAGATAGTTTTAAATTATTAGTTCGGAATGGAAGAAGAAGTCGAAGACGTACCTGACCTTCCCAGGTCCACAAAGACCTAAAACCCGGTGCCGACCGACCACATTGAGTTATTTAACGGGTTGCACGAAGTGAGAAGGCAGTTTGATAAATTTTACGATTAGTATTTCAAGAAATAAATAACTGTTGAAGACTTCCACTAAATTAAATACAAATTTATATTCATAAAGATACATTTCTTAATAAAATTATTTAATTTCTATCAAATTGTTTTCTAAGTATTCAATAGGAATTCGTTTAAAAAAATAGCATATTTCAATGCGTATGTGAACGATTCCATTAGCGATGGAGTTAGGGGTTCACCATTTGTTAGGTGTGATGGGTGCAACGAGTGGGCTTTATTTGGGAATTCGGGACTAGTACTTCTAAGGAAGCTAACAGCGAAGATGTGCAATTTGTTTGTAGAGTTTGCAGGATGGTGAAGTTGGTGGCTACCCTAATTAAAGTAGAGGCAAAAGATAAAGAGAAGTGTAAACTGTAAGAAATAACAACAAGATTTCAAGAGGAACTTAAGCTATTACATGCAAGGGATACATAAGTTAACAATGACTTTTAGCAAGTTAAAAACAGTACTATTAGGGCTAAAAGTAGTCGATCTAGTTGCTCATGAGCATGTTCGATTGAGCAACAGATTTCAGCCCTTGACTTGCGCAGATGAGGAACTAACTATTGGAGGGAATGAAAACAAATTGGGCAGAGAAGGGCGTGAATGATAAAGTTAAGGAGGTTATAGGTGATTCTTTGACAAGGCATATGGAGAGGATAGTCTGTAGGGTAAATAGGGAGAAAATAATTATATTATGTTACCATGGGGCACAGATGAAGGATATAACTGACAGAACAAGAGATATAATAAAGGGGCTAGCAATAATGTAGTTTTTTGTTGTATATGGAGGAGCTAATGATGTAGGGAAATGTAGATCTGGGGAGCTAATTGATGTGCACAATGGGTTGACAAAGGCATTTAAAGAAAAGAGCCATAAATTACCTGGGATACTGCAGATAATTAATTGTGGGGATGAAATTATAAGTAGATCACTAGGGCTGAATGCTAGGCTTAGGTTAATATGTAAGAATGAGCAGATTGGCTGTTTGGACTTCTGGGGTCAGTTTAATGGGAGAAGGGAGCTTTTGGAATGAATAATGTACATTTAAATATGGTAGGGGCTGGCTTATTTGTAAAGGCTATTGACTCAGCTGTAAAGAAAGATTTAAACTAGGATTAGATAGTGGTGAGGGCTGGGATAAACTAAATGTCAGTTGGTTGGTGTTTTATGGCGCACAGCAGCTAGGCTATCTGCGCCAAACAACCGGTAAAAGCAATGAAAATAGATTAAAGTAAAATGTAAAAAAAACAGCGAGTTAAAAATCAATAGATGTCGGTAAAAGATTTATATAGAATTAAAAAGACGTATAGTGTGTAAAAAATTAAAAATACAATCTTGTCGGACAGTGT